TTATAATAATTTATATTATCATAGCAATTCCAAGTGAGATATTAAGTAAAAGAAATATATATTATATACACATGAGTTTTCACAAGAGCAAATTTATCATTTAGTCAGTGGTTGCTGAGCACTTAATGAATTTAGAATCTGTTTTTGCCTATTTGTCTAAGAATGCCCTTGGTATTTGGATGGAAATTGCATTAAACCTATAAACTACTTTGAGTAGTATAGACATTTTACATATATTCATTCTCTCGGTGCACGGGCACAGGCAGGTTTCCCTTGTGTGTACACAGACCTTCTTCAGTTTCTGTTTTCAGTGGTTTGTAATTTTCACTACAGGACTTGTTACTTCTTGGGTTGAATTTATTTCTAGACTTTGGTGGTTTGTTTGTTGCTAGCTGTGAATGGTTCACATCATCTTGCTGTCTCACTGTCTCGCTGTCCTAAGTAGCTGGGGCTATGGGCTTGCCTTCCTAGACCTGGCTCGTCCCAAGGCAATTATCTTGTCTTCTCTAACTTTAATTTTGCTGCTATTGTGAATAGATAGAATTCCTCTCGTATCTTCTGAGGAAGTTCATTATTAGTGTATAAAATATGGCTGGCTTTTATGTTGGTTTATGAAGGATTTCTATATACTTCAGTTTCACTAAATTCCTTTACCTGTGTCTTTTGGTGGAGTTTGTAGGGTTTTGATTTCTTTTAATCTACATATCATGCCATTTTGTAACAGGTGATTTGATTCCTTCTCTTCCTATTTATATGCCTCTGATTTCTTTTACTTGATAATCTCATGCCATTCAAAATTGCCATTATACAAAACAAGTAGTAAATGTTGACTGGTGAGAGGAGGGGTAGCACTTGGGCACTGCTGGTGGGACGAGAGATCAGTACAGACAGCTCAGTGTCAGTGTTTTTAAAAGGTGAAGATTAGACTGGCTGGAGAATCCACAGTCCTACTCCTGGTTCTATTGAAAGGAAAGGACTAGAAGCATGCAACAAGCAGAGCGTGGTGATAGTACAACTCAGATGTAGGATCAATGTCCAAGTCTATGAGAGACAGGAAAAGAGAAAAAATGTCTGTGCTTGTGTGTTTGCATACACATGTGCATGTGTGCACGTCTGTGCATGCACAAAGGAATTTGTTCTACCATAACACTAAAATTCTGCCACCTGTGACTGATCTCTGAGAGATGACTCAGAGATTGAGAGCACTGACTTCTCTTGCAGAGGACCTGGGTTCGATTCCCAGGACCCACACAGCATCTCACAACCATCTGTAACTCCAACTCCAGGGCATCGGATGCCCTTTTTGGCTTCCATGGGCGCTGTATATATGTGATAAATTTACACACATACAGACAAGACAGTCAACGATATAAAATAAAAGTTTAAAAAATTGTTTATAAAAGGGCTTTACATGTACAGAAGTGATAGGAGGTGGAAAGAGAGTTGGTTGTCTTGGGTGATAAGGACACATTGTATCCATGCACTAAAGTATCCGCACAGTGATACTTTTTCTGTGATATGGACACATTGTATCCATGCACTGAAGTATCAGCACACAGTGTCTCACAAATACATACAATCAGTATGTATCGATTTTAAGGAGATCTGGATACATACAATTGCAATCATTCCTGTGGTCAGGGAAAACCTGGAGAATGAGAGCAGGCCCTGTAGGAGAGAGCTGAGGAAGGGCAGTCCGGGAAGAGCTTAGCAAGGTGAAGGGCAAAGAGGCACAAAGAGATAGCAACATGTCCTGAAGGAGGTCAGCACCTGGTGAGACTAGACGAAATCAGATTAAACTTCCAAACTGTGGTTAACTGATAGATTACATATTCCAAATTGAACAGTGCTATCTTTCTGGGAGGAAGCCCCGAATGGTTTCCACTCTGATTCCTTGGAACTGGAAAAGTTTGGTGATCAGCCTGAGAAGCAAACAAGAGTATGGACGCCATCTTTGCACCATTTCCTCTGGGTGCTGGCCAGGTGGTGACCCAAGTTCTCAGCATCAGAATGCAAGCATGCAAATGGCTGACAGGAAACTTCAAAAATGACTCACTGGCATTACCTACCCAATGGTTCAGGGCGGAACTTTTAGGGGATGTAAGTAACGGGGATTAAAATGAGATCCTGCTGCAGCAAAACTGTGAGGACAAAGTAGGACTTTAGCTAGCTGTAGTGCCGTACGGAACGCTCCAGGCTCCTGTCAGAGAGAGGTGCGGATCCAGACTGAAGTGGAAACATACGGGTTCTTTGGAGTGTCAGTTGTGTCAGACGGTGTTTCGCTCTGGCAAACATGTGAAGGAATGTTTCCCTGAGGCAGACACAGCTGAAAGGATGCTCTGCTAAAGCAAGTACATGAAAGGACACATGATGAAGGTTTCTTCGCTAAGGACGCACATGTATTGGTTTTCCTTACATTGCATAGTTGAATTCCATTTGTTGGGACTCCATAGAGAGAAACACCAAAAATCTTCTGTGGGTGTGCCTTGGCTTCTAGCTGCTTCCACAGGTTTGGCTGAGGTGGAGGACACGTAATGACTGGAGAGGGCATAAAAAGGAGGTAACAGACAGTGGCGGGGCTGGGCTTGCTTACGTAGCTAAATACTTCTTGGTTTTGCATCTTTGGTGAATTTCACTTCCCTGAGAAAGCACAGCTGAGATCTTTTTCTGGCATCCCTGTTGGCCCTGAATCGTGCTGAGGCTGAGGTCTGGCTGTCTCTGCAAGGTCCTGCCACCACCGCTGCTATCCCGACTCTATGACTCTACACACCTGGACTGCTGGTATATCCGTGAGGTACAGTGGATGGAGCGGCTGCTGCTGACCTGTGAACTGAACCTCTGAACTCCTGAAGATACAGATGAGATTTGCTCCTATTTCTAAACAGGTCCACTTCTCCCATATCCTCTCTTTTCTACCACCTCTGGTGGACGGTGGGCTAGAAGCATTTGAGAACCATCATTAAAAGAAAGCTTCGAAAAACTTGAAGTTACACTGGACTTAGAAACAAAAGTGTTTTCCACAGATAAGGAGGCCTTCAGCAAAAGGCGAGTCTGTGGGGCTAAGCTGTGAGGAGATTCGGGAGCTTTAGGAAGCAGCAGCTCCAGCTTCCTTACCTCTAAGAAGACTCTCTTTCTCCCACTGTGTAGCCGAATTCTGACAGTGCCCCTTTCTCCCGAGAAAAGAAATTCAATACAAACCAACACTCCCACCCTCCCTCACACCACACAAATCTTAGGATCTTATTCCTGCTGACAACTAGCGTCAATGTGCCCAGCTAAAGAACCTCTCACGTGTTGATCTGGTGGTACAGGAGGCAAACTTTGTTACCTGATTTTACCTCTGAGTGTAACTAGCCTTGAAACGTCACAGAAACCCAGTTTAAATGCACCTTTCCATTTTTAAAAAAAAAAAGTGCTTCAAATTAATGTTTAAGGTCAGTCGACAAACATTTAGTGAGAGTTTGAGTGTCCAGGTATTTCAGTGTGGAGACTGTGTGGACCAGACCATAAAGACCCTGGAATATGGGTGGAGGTAGGCAGGCCAGGGCAGAACAGGGCAGAGCAGGGCAGGGCAGCCCTCAAGGCAGCTGGGGAACAGTTAAGAGTTACACTTGAGGGTTGTCAAGGTCGCACAGCTGGGAGAAGCGACAGTCCACAAGCTGGCCAACTCAGGCTCTATTCCCAAATCCCGCGTGAAAAAGCAGGACGCTGTGTTACTTATCTGCCACCCCAGAGCTCCTACAACAAGAGAAGACACAGATGAATTGTCCAGAAATGTGAAGGCCAGATACCCTGGAGTATACATCACAGCCATAACAACAGAGACCCTGCCTCGGAGACAAGACAGAGGGAGAGAAGTGACTCCCTGAAACTGCCTCTTGACCTCCACACACACATACCACTTGTCTGGCAGAATGTTGCTTGGTAGTACAGCACACTTGCCTGGTTGGGTTCAATTTCTGCACTCCCCAAAAACCTGCACTTTGGACTTTCAATTCAGAACCTACATACAGATTACTAGTTGTATGACTTTGGGCCAATTACATGCTTCTCTGTGTCTCAGTTTCCCTATGTATAAAATCCTGAGGATACTTCCAGCATTTACATCAGTACGTCACAGAAGTTTGCTTTCTAGTCATACTGATGAATATAGCCACACTAGAGGACCAGGTAGCTAAGATATATACAGTGGCTTAAGAGGTAGAAAATGAGAATGGCAACTTAGTATCCACCTCACTTGGTGGCTATTTACATAAAGTATCTGGATGGGCTGATACATGCTATAAGTACTAGGTGGTACCCTGTTTTAGTACTGAGCTTTGCTTTGTGTTTTTAACCTAATGTTGCCTAGTACGATACATGGTCTGTAAAGAGTCCAAGGACCCTCAAGGCTAATGCTAGCGAGAACAGTTCCAGCATCCATGTGCTTACAGAGAACAGCCCCTCATATACTCGCATAGAGTGACTTCTCAGAGGTGTACGTATGAGGTAGAACTTCTGTCCCTAGGTCTGACATACTGTGAGTATCTAGCAATCAAGTAAACTGAGGCTCCAATAGCCAGAGGAAAACCCCAATGAGTGGAAGGCAAGCCTTGCTTTCCCCTGACATCCCCAGCATGACCCCTTCATTACCACCCCTAGAATTCACTGTTGGTCAGCATTTCCACTAATGTGAAGGGGGAAACACAGACCTGGGCTTTCATGGAAAGTGTTTTGAATCTCACAACCAGAATTCCTGCCTGTAAAGGAGGTTGGGGCTAGATCTTTAACTTTTCCTTTAGTATTTCAGAACCCGACCATTTGAAAAGCATCTTTTCTGAGGAATGGTATTTCCTGGCATAAGACAGCCTTTGTCAAGTGACTCAGACTGATTTTTTTATTTCAATATAAATTGGCCCCAACTTACAGAGAAAAAGTGGGCACTGGGTATCAGTTTGATGTCAGGGTTTTTCCCAGTTTGAAGAGCTTTAAATACAGCTAGCCTGGAAGATGCTGGTAGGCTGAGCTCCAGACGCCCATCAACATGTTTGTGACATACATCCTTGCCTCAACTGTACTCTTTGGTTCTGTACTGGGCCAGAGATGCAGCACCACTTGGGGCATCAAAGACACCAGTTACCTTATTGAAAAACTGAAGGTAGATTTTGGGGGCTGGGGAGAGCCATCTGCTGGAGGATGACAAAGGGGACTCAACTCACTGGGGGTTATCTCTTTGTCTACTGTAGGACGACCCACCGTCAAAATGCAGCTGCGGCGGCAACGTGAGTGAATAACCTTAAGAACTTTCCAGATTTCTCTCAGTGTTCACAGCTAGAATATTCATGCTGAGATTTCTCTCTTGCAGGTGACCAGCTGCTTGTGTCTCCCCATCCCATCTGTAAGTATAGCCAAAAAAAGGTCACAGGACACTGTTTACATTTTGAAGAAAAATAACACAATTTACTTGACATTCTAAATTCTAAATTACTGTTTAAATGGGACTGTTATAGTATAAACCTCACCTTTAAAACTTATATTTATATATACATTATATACACATCTATGTGTTTAAGTTAGCGTCGTGCCCTTGAGCAATCTGAGTATTTTTCATAGTCTAAAACTTATTGACTATCTTCCGAGATAAATGGCCATGTACAAAATGAATATGGTTTGCTGATTCATTGGCTAGTGAGTCCAGATTTGTGGAACAAACAAAATAGCAGCATCGGGCATGGATTGTTTAGATATCTCTCTCTCTCTGTCTCTCTGTCTCTCTGTCTCTCTCTCTCTCTCTCACACACACACACACACACACACACACATACACACACCCCTCCTTTCTCTGGCATCTTCCTACTCTTCCCCTTCCCCTTCCCCGTCTCCCTGTTGGCCTTTAGTGGCTGCCAAATGGTTCCAACTGTCCTCTGGGAAGACATTATCTAAGTTGGATGCCTAATGGGTCCCTAAGAGAGCAACTCCCACCCTGGCAGTGAGAGAAGGACGGGGAGGCTCTGGTACTGTTCTAACTCCTGGTTATGATGAGGGCCCTGTAGCCACTGCAGGGCTCACCCTTCAAGTTGGACCATGGAAAAGCTGAGCTCAGAACCCTGTGGAAGTCAGAAGCTTTATTTGTTGGGGTTCTATGGCTAGGGAAGGGTCCAATCTGTCCCCTCTCTTCTCGATGCAGGATTGTAGCTTGTGGGAAACACAAGCCCTAATGCAATGGCTTGTCGCATCAGCTGGCATGAGAAAATGCTTTTCCTTTCTCTGGACTTTCAAACTCACAGCCATTGGACCTAGACAGGGCCGCTAGGTGCGAGGCAGATGCAGTACCACGTTTACTAACACATCAGGTCTACATTTCCTGTGTGGAATCTCCTCCAGGAACATCACTGGGAAATTGACCTCACCTCAAATGACTTAAGATCTTTTCCTAGGGTGCCAAGGAAAAGATCCAAAAAAAAAAAAAATAGCATGAGTTTAGGCGACACTGGTTAAATTATGTTGCTCTTTAAAATCTTCTTGGTTTTTCTTTCTGAAAGCAGTCCTAGGCAGTTTTTACAAATTCTTTTCATAAGTCCCTGTTATTTACCAGGATGACTGTACCACACCGTGCTTCCGGGAGGGACTGTCACAGGTGACCAATGCCACACAGAAAACAAGATTCTCTGTTTTTTTCAATCGGGTGAAAAGGACAGTTGAAGCCCTAAAGAACAGCAAGTGTCCGGTGAGTTTTGTATCCGCATGTAACAAATGATTCCTGAGTGGATGCTGTCACCATAGAAGTAGGCTTTTGGGTCAGAGCCTGTAGCAGAGAAACTTGAGGGCAACAGCTGCCTGCTCATCTCTAAGCAAATGAGAAAGAATGGCAAAGTTAGAGTGGGTGGGCCCAGGCTGGACGGGGGCCAGGTAAGGAATTTAACCAGGAACAGGATCCCTGTAGTGGGATGGATATGCTCTGGAGTCTGAGGCTCCGCTGGTTAAATGGAGACCATGGGCACCCAACCAGCCTCTCTCCCCCTGTTGGATAATGAAAGAATTTACCTCATTGTAAGCAAAAGCTGGACTCTAAAGAGGCAGACTCTAGCTCATGCAGCACTAAGTCATCCTAAAAACTGACTTTTCTAACTAACCAAGGATGTGGTAACCTCTAAGTCAGGTTTTTTTGTTGGTTTGTTGAATGACTGAAAAGTTTTGTAAAAGACAAGACCCCAAAGAGCACCAGTAGTCCAAAGTGCTGTGTTTGGCCAGCCTACTCACATATCTCTGTCCCCATGGGCACCTGTCTTGGCCATTACACTGAGCACCTGCCTTAGAGGCCAGTTTTAGCTCTGTACAGGAGCTTCATAAGGAGAAAAGTGATACCTATGAAAGTCATTTTTCTGGTGCTATTGTATTTAACAAGAGACAACGTTGGGACTTAACCCCTGGTCTATGTGAATCCAAAGTCTCCCTCAGAACTACGATGTTCTAATGTGACCTTGAAAGGACAGGGGTTGGGGAGCATATACAGATATTTGTCCTCAAAGAATCCTCAGGAAAAAAGAATTTTCCCTAATGACATTTAATGTCATTCGGTGGGTAGTGTGTGTGCATGTGTGCACATGTGCATGTATGTGCATAGACTCCTGGAATCGTGAACCCCAGATTAACACTTACATGGTCTTACCAAATGCTAGCTAGCCCAGGATCATTCTTCTTATTTTCCTTCCATCAACTGGTCCCCAGGTTTGAGGGAAGACGATGCTGGGCTGCTAGGTGTGTACTGCGGCAGAGTGAGCTTCGGATGCTCACCCTGTCCTGTCCACTTCTATTCCTACAGTTTTTCTCCTGCGAAAAGCCATGCAACCAGACCACAGCAGGCAATACACTGTCATTTCTGAAGAATCTCCTGGGGACATTCCAGAAGACGGAGATGCAAGTGCAGAAAAGCCGACCATGAAGATGGATACTATTTATTCTATTTATTGAATTTACAAAACCTTTCCTTTTTACTTGTTACAGTGAAGAAATAAACTAAGCTATTCTAGATCAAAGCACATTTGTATTCTTTTGTTTCACAGTTGCTTTTGGAATAAAGATCCATGGGGAGTGAGAAATAAAGGTATCTGGAATAAAGAACTATGGAGAAAGAAAAACTCAAACTGTCTCCAGGCCCTTTCTCCTTGCCTATTCATTCCTGTTGCCCAGAGCAACTAAAGCTTCCAATGTTGTCACTGGTAGAATGGGTCAAAGATTTGGTAATAAACAGAGCCATAAGCCTGAGGACAGAACTGGAGGCTTGGGTCTTGACTGGTCTGTAGGTAAGCAGCTCTGAGGGCATAGCCTGAAAGACGACAGCAGCAGAGGCTAAGAATAGCATGAGGGAGGCACAGGATACCACCACATTCCCAAGGGTTTGTCCCTGTGAAACAAACTGTGGTCTCAAAGCAGAAAGGACCATTGTTTGGTGAGTCCAGGGGCTGAGAGACTCTTCAGGAATGTGAGCGTGTGAGCCGGAGAGATGGCTCAGGAGTTAAGAGCACTTGCTGCTCTTTCAGGAGACTGGAGTTCAGTTCCCAACACCTTTGCCAAGAGGCTCTCAACCATCTGTAACTCCAGCTCCAGAGGAGCTGATGCCTCTGCCCACCAAAGGCACTTGCAGGCATGTGCACATGTCCACATGCAGACAAACACACCTACATATAATTTAAAAATAAATTATTTTAAAAGTAAAAGTAAATGTGGGTGTGGTTTACATAAGAGTGCAAAGGCCTGGCAACAGGTCTGGAGATGGGTCCCAGAGCAGGGCACTTCAGGTGAGAGCTTGAAGCAGGGAAGTGTGGGATCAACATGGCCTGTTTACCTAGAACCTGCTCAGGGAGCGCCCACCATGTGCCAGCCAACAAAATCCAGTGGCGGAAGCCCCAGGAAGTCCTTGAATCGTACCACATGACTGGCAGAACGTGGATGTAGCTGTTCCCCTCAACCTAACATTCAACATGCCCCACCCCAGTACCCACTCCTGGTCTCTATCCCACAATGCTCACAGCCTTCTAAGCATGTCTGCCTGCCTCTCCAGATCACACCCCAGCTCTCCAGGGATCAGCTCTGTCCACTCTTGTACTAGCACTGAGCTGCCCTGCAGGAGGTGCCGAGTGAATGTGGTCTGAACAGATGACTGGTCTCCAGGATGCAAGGCCACAATTGGAACTGAGTCAAAAATATGCCTGGTGGCCGGGCAGTGGTGGTGCACACCTTTAATCCCAGCACTTGGGAGGCAGAGGCAGGCGGATTTCTGAGTTTGAGGCCAGCCTGGGCTATAGAGTGAGTTTCAGGACAGCCAGGGCTACACAAAGAAACCCTGTCTCGAAAAACAAAAACAAAAAAGATAAGAATATGCCTGGTGGATAGATTGGACCCAGAACATTCTATAGGTGTCTCTGCAACACCCCCAGGCAGGTCAAGGGTCCGTTTACACTACCTGCCTCTCCCGGATGGAAGACTTCAGGACTTCTGTTTGGCCCCTTCAGCATTGGCTGGTATACACACAAGGTCAAGGATAGGGTGAGAGTCTTTGGCAGAGAAATGGTCCTCTCCCCTTCTACCTGCTGATACAGAGGTATGAGGAGGAAGAGAACCCCTGGCTTCTGTCTTTATGCATGAAGTTTCCAGAACTAGGCTCCTGCCTCTATACAGGACATTGAATAAGGAAGGTGTCTCAGTCTGTGTTGTGCCTAACTCGTGTGTCTGGTCTGGTCTGTGGATCCCCACACACCCCTTCCAAACTGACCACTCAGAGTGTGACACACAAGAGATGCTGAGGGCACGACACACATTTACAATAATCATTAGATTAGACTCTTAACATTCTGCACTGTTTCTGTTTGTACCAGAAGGCAGAACCACCTTTAATGGCTCAGGACTAGCAGGAAGTAGACACTGGTATTTCTTTTTTATAAGCGTGAAAGCCAAAGTTGGAGATGTTCCAAAGATCCTTCAGCTCGTGGAAACATAGAGCAGAGAGCCACTTCCAGCTGGTTCAGCTTGCCAACCGGTCTCTCTGCTACCCCGTCTTGGTGCTCTCCTATCTGTGTAAGATTTCTACACTACATCCTCTGATAGCCCGAGGGTCAAACGGGTTCACTGCAGCCCCGGGGCACGCTCTCTTATCCAGCAAGCAAAGGTCAGAGAAGGTTCAGATTTCAAGCTCTTTAGTCCTTTCAAAAATTTATGCACAATTCATGTGCCACTCCTTGCATAACACCCATAGCAGGACCTGGGGCAAAAATTCTGTAATTAAACGCATCAATATTCTGCAGCAAAAGCCAAGAACATTTGCACGGATAGGTCAAGGTTTACAGCCAAAGAAGTCACAACAACCTTGAGCTGGCTGAGCTGTTTGGGTTTCGGGATGGTGATAAGGGATTGGGGAGCTGAGTGTACAAAACAGCTTTGCTCCAGCCTGGGGCTCACTTACGTTCCGTCTGGCCCTGGGTCATCTCCAGGAGGAACGGAGGCTTCTGCAGCTCCCTGACTGGCTGGGCTACATGGCAACCCGGGTGGTTTCCCCTGCATCTGGCTCTTCTGAGTCAGACTACTCACTGTGGTTTGCTCACTGTATTCATTCAGGATCGAAGGGAGGGGCGGATGCTGGTGGTTGGGATGGAAGACAACACAAGCTACTGTTAGGGGGAGGGATCAAGCAATAGAAACTGAGGCTTTCCGCCACATCAAAACCACCTGCCAGCTTGGTGCTTTCCCTTGGCTTGTCTGTAAAGTTGAGTAAGAAAGAATTCACTCCTGCAGATAGTCTGAGGATAGCACACCTTGGGTGAGGAGGGCTCACCTGGGATGAGGACGTGGGGTAAGGAGGGCACACCTGAAGTGAGGTGGGCTCACCTGGGGTGAGGAGGACACACTTGGGATGAGGGGGCAGACTGGGGTAAGGAGGGCATACCTGGAGTTAGGTAGGCTTGCCTGGGGTGAGAAGGGTTCACCTGGGGTGAGGGGGGCACACCTGGGATGAGAAGAGCTCACCTGGAGTGAGGAGGGCACACCTGGGGTTCCGGAGGGATTCCTTGGGGAAGCTCTCTCCCTGTATCCCAGCCTCAGAATCCAAAGTCACCTCCAGGGGGAAAAGGGGAGCCATCTCAAGTTGAACGTTTCACTTGGAATTTCTTAATTTTTCCCAGAGGTGGCAAAATCACACCCCAGACCCACTCCCGACTATTGGATACAGTGGGGCTTAGTTGGGGAAGGAGAAGTGGAGGCAGCTGGGGGGAGGGAAAAACAGCTAAATTTAGGTAAAAATAAAAACAAGTTGCACCTGTGTCCCTTGCACCCAACTCAGCAACCAAAATAAGCATGCAGGTGCGCGCAGTAGTGACACGCTGTGGGATCGTGAAGTACTGAGGCAGGAAAGACTAACACTGCTCTTAGAACTTGTGTTACCTAACTCAGTGGGCCCCCTCCATGCTCAGGGGAACCAAGCCCAGTGGGCCCTCTCTCTGCTTGGCCAGTGACCAGAAGCCACACTTCTCTGGATGTACGGCTCCCTGGACTTCACAACTGGATCACATGCTTCTAGAATCTTCTTTGACAACAGCTTAGCAGAGAGGATTCTGGGAGTTAGAACCCAGACCAACAACCCATCCTGTGTCCTGAGCACGCGAAGGTCCATTCAGTGTTTGCATTTACCCCACTCCAAAGCATTCGTATGAAGACACAAAGGGGCAATTATGACTTTCAGGGTTTCACGTGGACCAGGCCCGGGGTACACAGATGCAACATCCGCCCTTTGTCAACCTCCGGGCAAAAGATAAACAGCTCCGAATCGGAGAGGAATACTGATTTTTATAGATGAGGAAACCTGAAGCCCAAGTAGGCAGAAAATGTCGAGATTACACAGATAGGCACCAAGGCTGGAACCCAAGGAAAGACAGCACCCTGGGGCACAGAGACCAGCGAAACAGGAAGAGAAGTGTCCAGGACCCCGCAGGATTTAGTTGACCTCTGCTGCCATCAAGTGGCGATTCTATGGCATAACAGGCTTTTGAGGGACAGTGTTTCTTGTCCTCAAAGTGACCCGCAAGACCAAAAACTAACTTCAGATGACTCTAAGATAGTACCTTCCTCTCCACTCTCATTTTCTCATGCGCACACTGGGTCTTCCAAGGACTGTACAGCAAGCGATGTCACAGACAAACAGAAGGGCCTCCAGCTGTCCCCTATTCATTCACTACAGAGGAGTAAACTCTCTGCCTAGCCAGGAGCACACAGTGGGAGGTCCTGCCTGGCCTCTGAACACACCACTCTTCCAACCCTACTGTGTAGCCAATGCAGGCACCAGGGAAATCCTGCTTGATACATCCTGGGATGGGATAGAGGAGGCACTCTGGGTCCATCTCAGTATTCTCTAATGTAGCAGGAGCATCTCCTCACCAGCACCCTCAGTACCTGCTGGTGATGCTGAGGCAGGGATAAAGCCAGCCTCTTCCTGTTAAAGGGTCTAGTAAACTAGCATGAATGCTCTTCTGGGGCTCCCCCGCTCTCACCCCTTGAGGCAGTACTTGCACACGGCAGGTGCTCAACACGTGTGATGACTGAGTGACCAGGTACCCCATAGCCATGGCTCAGAGCTGCCCAGGGGTGGGAGGACTTGGAGCTCCAAGAGCTGTGGAGGATGGATGTGGAGAGAGCACAGGGAGGAAGCGCCTGTGATCTACACCGGGGAGAGTGGCCATGTTGGCCTCTTGGGGAGGGGAGGCAATCGTGATTTGGTGCTTGTGCAGATCACACAGAGGTGGTGGGTACCCTTACCACCTCTTCCTTGGGGCAAACCAAGGATGATATTAAAGGTCTGTTTTTTACATGGCTGTGAGGACCGTTCCCTCACTGGGTTTTAGGTCACCCGGAACTACATTTCTGCTTGGCTGGTGGTGGCTGTGCAGGTGACAGTGTTGGGGGGGATTCTGAAGCCACATTCAGCAGTGTGCTGAGAGGGGTCCTGGGGTACAGTAGGTATGGCTGTGGGTACAGAATTGGAAGTGA